TCATCATCATCATCATCATCATCATCATCATCATCATCATGATGTTTTATTGAACTTAACTTAAATACGGCATCCAGAGTAATAGTAAAGAGCCAAAATAAGAATAAAATGTAGATAAATATACATGTATACAATTTATAGAGTTACAACATATTGTAACACATTGTCAGCCATTTTGGTTTTTGCAATTTGGTTGACACCGTAACAATGCTATACGCATGTTACATAGATCTATATATTACAAACCTATCAATCGATTAGGAACAATATATCTTAATGTCACGAATACAAATTGACAATCATAGATCAGATAAACATTGAATTCACTTCATACTATTCTGTTATTCTGTTATGATATATATCGGGATGTACAGTGGATAGCGCACTTGCCTTTCTCTAAGACGACCGGGGTTCGATTCCCCGATCGAAGGTGAACATGTTAGAGTCACCTGCTCGACCACGTGGGTTTTCTCTAGGTACCCCGGTTTCCTCCAACACTAAGACCCCCCACCCCCCAATTTTGTAATTTGCAAGACAATATCTTGTTTCATAATTGTTGATAAATAAATAAAATTATGATTATTTGTTTAGGATATATATTAAGTTTTGAAGAAAACCCCCCACATCATGTTATTTTAAAAGTTAGTCATATTAATGTAAAAAGATAGGGGCTATGCTTAAGCGTTATCCTAAATAAGAGCACTGAATAACAATACTTAGATATAATATATCAATAATACATTTACAAGTCATTTTTATAATAAAAAAAAACATGACCGTTAGATGACACGGAATGAAATGATTGAGGTCAAGCATCATTATAATTTAGGTATTCGTCTAATTTAGACAGGAAAACGAAGAAGAATGAGGCATGTGAATTTCTCGTAGGTACGGTATTCATCCTTGTTCAGATGTAGTCTCGTTTAACTAGACGCTTGATCACTTGTAATTCAAGAGTCTGGTCAAGCACAGTTTTGTGAAATTAACATCACCAGAGGGCAGTGTTTTTTCCTTTCGTTTCCGTACGTTATGTCAACGCCGTTTGAACATTTCAAAGAATAATGAAATTAATGAAAAGTTGTACCTGTACATGTATTCCTGAGGTATCTGTTTATTCACTGTTATCGATATTTCCACTGAACTAATATCATACTATTTGCTCTTAATGCTTTACAATCGGGTTTTTTCCGATGGGGCTATCGACTGTGTTGCGTATTGACATGGTATTAAATATATTCCTAGCTTTCCTTTGGATTTTGTTCAGATGGTGCTATCGACTGTTTGGACATCAGAGATAAAGGAGTAACGGTTTCCGGAGTATACAATTTCACACTGGGCGGTAGTAAACTAACAAGGGTTTACTGTGACATGGATACAGATGGAGCAGGATGGACAGTAAGTTGTCCCATAATGTTTGCTGACTCTTTGGTATTCTTTTGTTATTTTTCGGTTTATAATTAGTTTTATACTTCAGTATCGAACCATGTCACATATTCCCTACCCCTTAGCCTGTTTGAGATATCAAAATATTGCCCTGTAAATATGGAGTAAAACCTCTTTTTGTACTATGTTTGATAGTTCAGGAATTATATTCTCAATACAATATGTTAATGCCCATAATTTTCTTATGGATTAATTTAGATATAAATCATTTTATACTTAACAATACACTATATATTGCGTCATCAATTTTTTTTATATATATAGTGACATATTGGATTAAATAATAAGGGTTTAGTTATGTGTATATAATAATGAAATTATCTTTTTACAAAACAAAAACATAAACGCATGGCTACATTATATGTACATATTCCAATCTCTACCCAGAGTTGTCGTTCCTTACATTCACTTACTTACGGAGTGTAAGGAACGACAACCCTGGGTAGAGATTGGTACTGAACATACTTTTCATTATGTTTATTATAAGGTATTTCAGAGACGTATAGATGGTGACGTCGACTTCTATATGGGTTGGAATGATTACAAAGTTGGATTTGGGGACGTTGCTGACGAGTTTTGGCTTGGTAATATACAAATTATTAACATGTACCGTGAAATAATGGATAATCTATATACATGATCTCATATGAAAAACTATTTGATTATCTTACTTTAAAATGAAGTTCCCTTAATATAGCGTTATTAAATGATGTGCAGTAAATGTACCTTAAGATTGAACGATTGGGTCTTATTTCGCCGCTATTTTAATAATACGCATTTTATTTATCTGTACTTGTATGTATATCCACTTAATTTACCCTAATATCCAATGATAAGGTTATTTACCCTAGTTTTTCAATTACGCGCACTTAATTTAGATTGATTTTTAAATATCTGCACTTAATTTATTTTTAATAATTATGTTAGAATATGTACTTAATTTATCTTAATTTCCAATAATATGTGATGACCGATGCTGTTTTACATATCAATATCATTGCGACGGAATAAACATTTTGTTTTCATTCTACCCATTGAAACTTTATTTCCTTCGACATCGATTTATCGAATGATACTATCAAAAAGTTAAACTACAATGACTTTGGATTTTACAGGAAATGAGAACTTATATCTTCTGACATCACTTGGAGAGACCGAAATGAGAATTGATCTAGAAGATTTTGAAAACATTACTGTGTACGCTGATTATGCATCTTTCTGGGTCGGGGACGAAACTACCTCTTACAGACTACATGTATCGGGGTTTTCTGGAAGTGCAAGTAAATTTTATAATCGTTTACCTTTTCTGATGGTTATATCATTTGTTAGTCATATTTTAATGAATCTATAGTTAATTGACAAAAACAGATTATGGCATGTCTAGTTTAATAGCATGCGCAATGTAATCATATCGGCATATACATTAATTTAATTTCCTTGTCTTTTGACATCTCATAGCGTTTATTTGTGTCGATGTAGTCTAGGGTGTCTTTTTCATTTAGCTGTTTTTTTCAATGTGTATTTTTTGTTGTTGTGGTTTATCTTCTTAATTTGTGATTTGTTCTGCCAATTTCCCTTACAGAAGATACATTGGCGTACCATAATGGGTCGGCTTTCACTACCAAAGATGATGACAATGACATTTGTACATGCGATTGTGCTACCATGTACACTGGTGCCTGGTGGTACAGGAAGTGTCATTACTGCAACTTGAATGGTCAGTATCTTTCGGGAATTACCACAGAGGGCGGGAGGGGGTTACATGGGCCAAGTGGAAGGGTCAATACTACTCTCTCAAACAAATCAAGATGATGGCTAGGGGGATTGCGAACGATCTGGATATAGTAGTGCATCACAGAACTCTGAGCAGTCAGAGTTAAAAGTGAGTTGCAGTTTATCAGACAACTATGTTAAACTGTAAAATAATGGTGCGGAGGCTCTTATACAAGGGTCACAAAATATGTAGGAAAGGAAAAGCAAAGGACAAGGGTATAACAACATTTGTTCGAATGGAAATGCAGTGACTCTGAGGTTTCTTACAACTCGTACGAATGGAATATCAGAGGCTGAAAGTTTCACGAAAGTCATAAGCAATGAAAAAAATCCAAATAATTTGAAAGGTTTTTACTTCTCCATACGAAAACATTGAAAACATAAACTTGAATGGTGGTCAAGCACTCATAATTTTATATAAAAGAAAAAAAATGTTTTATAATGTTAAACCCGAACGATGTCTTTCAAGATATTACGCAAACGAAAAATCGTGTATAAAAATTACAAGGTTTCAGTATGATTGAATACAGTTCCTATTCGACACACATTAAGTTCATTGCAATAATGTTAACAAAAAATGTTAAAACTTTAAAAGAAATAAAAACATTGTATTTAGCATTGCTCTTCGTTGTTATTGATTTATCCCGAGTGTTTATAGACCAACCCTTCTGGATGTCGTTCTACATACTGTATATGTTGTTGATTGATGTACCTATCAATGACCTGTGCCAACAAATTCTCGTTTACTTCTACAGGCAGAGACTGAAGCATGTCTAACATTATTTTTACAAATATTACAATATGTCATTGTCTTAAGCTAGCGAACATAATGCATCTTAAATCATTCTAACTTTTGTGATATTAAGTGTGCTCAAATTTGTCAATGCCTATACAACGACGTGTGTGTCACTATCGTGCCGGAATTCATCTCACCTCTGATAAAAAGCATGACAAGAAGATATTATAATGTATCGCATCGAGTGATGAGATATCTCAGGAGTGTATATATAGCCTCTTTTACCCTAGATCTTCGCGTTAACTACCTTGTCATACAGTTGATGATACATACATGTTAGACATCGCTAGTGCAATATCCAAACAGTTGATCTGTTGTCTACCTGACGGTCAATGAAAAGAGATATATGAAATATCTCCTCGTGAAAAGAAAAAGAAAAAATATAAATAAATGTATATAAAAGTGTGATATGTTTATAAACGAATTGCTAAAGCTACAACTCTGTGCAAAGATTGTTGAATAAATCAATTGTTCTATATTTAGGCATAGTTGACGATTTCAGCTTTGTACACGCGATTCCGAAGAATTAACTTCAGAAAGGGAAACGTTGATGCGAAAAGACTTATCTAGAATATCTACAAATGAATCCTACGTAGGACTTATTCAAGGTGTTATCCTGAGTAGATATTGTTGAACCAATTACACGAACATTATGTAAACAATATTGACACCCTCATCCTATATGAATATAACATGTACGCTGCGTTCATATACTTAACAATACATTCTCTAAAAACTAATTTTCACATGTAGGTTTTTTGACGCCAAAAGAACATTGTAAGAATTGACATGCGATTTGACAGATGCACGTATAATTCAACGAAATTATATTGTGCAGTTATTGTTCAAGTTATTAAATGTTACTAGAAATCGCTTCACGCAACTTCGCTTTTTCAGACATATTTTAAGTGCTTAATGCATTTAGTCAATGCTATTATTGTTGACTAATCAACATTTTTGATAATTTGTCAATCTAAATACCGCAAGTAGGCCATTTAGAATTGACCCGATAACAAAAATTGCTTAAAATAATGATTCGGTGGGTTTGTATGTGCAATTACTTTTAGGTAATAACATGTGTCCGAATTTTTTAATGCAATAACCTTATATAGGCATTGCCGATCGGTTAATTATATAGAATCTGATCTTTACAACAGTATTCATGAACGTATTGTTATGCAATAGCACTATGCATGCTTTGTTATGCAATGAAAGAGGCAATGCTGACTCAATCATCATATGAAGGCATCGTTTACACGTATCGTAAAAAGACAATGTTGACACAATTGCAATGTTTTTATATGAACATTTGGACGAAATTAATCTATGTTATCGCAGTTATGACATAATCACCCTATGTACAAAGCAACTCTGATCCTTCGAAGCAAATGTTGACATTGATGTATGTAGGCGTTGTTAACACCGCTACCTTACGAAGACATAAACACAATGTTGACGAAAGTATTCCATCAGGGCATTGTTGAGGATATTATTTTACAGCAATGTTTACGCTATGCAATATTAATGATGCAATTGCCATTCGTAAGCTTTTGGACCCAGAAATACATACTTTACTTGAAAACCATATGCAAACATGGCTGATGCAATTGTGGTTTGTACGAATTGGTGAGAAATATAACTCACCTTTGCTTTTATGACGCAATTAATTTACAATGGCTTAACTGAATCCGTTGCCTTATGTGAACTATTTTTACGCAATCTACCATATACATACATATATATATATATATATATAT